GACAGCTGAGCGGCCGATAGCTGAGGACGCTGCTGACTGGTCTGAGGTGGGCGCGAGCAGAACCTGTCCGGGAAGTGATCACAGAGTCAGGAGGGTCTGATGCGGAGACAGCGGGCGCCGTCGAGTAGTCTTGCAGCAGGTCGAACCAGGTTTCCTGTGCTGCAGTGGGGAAGTCCGGGGCTTGTTGTAGGTGGCGTTGAATGCGCTGATCTAGGGTATCGCCTGGTGAGTCAAGGTGACTTCTGAGGAGGAGATCGTGGGAGGTAACTTTGGTGATGTGTCCCGGTAGTTTGTGGATGAGCCTGAGCTGGGCGTGGACGAACTGGGAAAGGAGGGTGCGGGAATGGTGGGTGATGCCTGTGGCCTCCAGGGAGTATAGGACGACCGGGTAGACACATGTCTTCCATACTCGGATTTTGCTGTCTAGGGTCAGTGCTCGACAGCGGAGGACCTTGGCTAAGCGCCAGTAGGCCTGCCAGCCGAGTTGCAGGCGGTGCTGCAGGTTGAGAGCTTCGTGGTTCTGATAAGCGATTCGAGCTCCAAGGTAGGTGTGGGCATCAACGATCTTAATTGGCATAGTGTTTTGACCGACACGAAGCTTTATTGCGGCTTCGCCTGTTTCCAGCTTCGTGAGTCTGGGGCGGAGAGTACTTCTGGCCGCGGTGAGTAGTAGTAGTAGTAGTAGTAGTAGTAGCAGCAGCAGCAGGAGTAGTAGTAGTAGTAGTACTAGTAGAGTCATTCTCGTGGTATCTTTACGGCCAAGGGTGCAGAGCACCTTAAACCTGAACCAGAAGCTCGAAACCCTAAGCCCCACACCCTGAACCCCAAACCCTTTCAACCCTGAGCCCAAAACCATACCTAAACCCCTAAGCCCTAAACCCTTAATCCCCTAAACCCTAAACCCCTAAACCCTAAACCCCTAAGCCCTAAACCCTAAACCCCTAAACCCTAAACCCCTAATCCTAAACCCTAAACCTCAGGCTTAAACCTCACATGCTGAGGCCTATTCAGGCCCCACTCCTCAAACCACATGGCCCAAACTTAGAGTAGCCCCTGTAGAACCTACCTGAACCCGGAATAACCCAACTCTTTGAGGGTTTTTACAAGGAAATCATATTGAGGAACCCTCAAAAGGTAGGCTTTTCAGGGTCCAGGTATAGTTGCATGTATAGTAGCAGTTCTAGAACCCTTACAGTAACCTTTGCCTTAAGAGTCCATGTCCTCAAACAATGCTTACCTTGGCTTTTAAGCGGTCTCTGTGAAGGTGCTTTGGGGCCAAAGTCTATACCAGTTAGATACCTGGAGCCTTTGGTACAAGCCCTAAACCCCAACCATACCCTTAAACCGTAAACCCCACACCCTAAAAGTAATAACGCTTTTGGAGCCTTCTTACAGTAGCCCTAGTACCTGGGACCCTTGGGGCTGGCTCTACTACGTTTAAGGGCTACTGTAAGAAGGCTCCAAAAGCGTTATTACTTTTAGGGTGTGGGGTTTACGGTTTAAGGGTATGGTTGGGGTTTAGGGCTTGTGCCAAAGGCTCCAGGTATCTAACTGGTATAGACCCTGAACCAGCTACTTAGTACCCTGTGGGCAGGTGAATGAAACTCCGATCGTGGACATCCAAGGCCTTGCCTGAAGAAAAGGACTGGGTTCTGCAGCACCTTCAAGGGAACTTAAAAGGGCATTATGAAGGGCACCATTCATAAGGGCACTTTAAAGGTTACTTCAGGGCTGCTATAAAGGTATTGTAACGGTACTGGTATTAACAGGCTACTAAGCGTACTATTATCGACTGGGTTCCGCAGTACCATACTTGGGTTCTTGTTTTTGAACCTGTGCATTCACGGAGCCATCATGAAATACTTGGGGTTTGGACCTGTTCCCTAAACGCAACCAATATGAAACAGCAGTCTGTATCTGTCAGTTGGAACAGTTGCGTAAAGGATCCTTTCTGAAGTATAGGTCTATAGTTTCTTGTGGACACTTTCCTTAAAGGAACAATGATGGAGCTGCTGTCTATATCTCAAGGAACCACTCTGAAATAAAGGTCCGTGCTCCAACTTCCCAGCTTACTTCCCCAAGGGTGTAAGGGTCTCTATATTAGGAATTATTACTAGGATTTGGGAAAGTATCCCCCGTACCACTACCTAGGACCCTTTGGGTCTGATCCCTCTTAAACGTTTTCGTATGACTTTCGTCTTGTGTCTGGGGAAAGTTAACCTTTCACCTGAGGCCAACAGACGCACTTTTTTGTTTTAGATTCTTTTTCATCTTACAGCTTTTGCCTTCTGAAGCGCTTTCGTGAGGTTTACAACTTGCAGTTCTGTGCTTCTTCGCGCCCGCTTGCTTCGGTTATGTTGCTTGCGTCCTGGCTTCTGTTGTTGTCATGTTGAGGCTTGGGCCCTGGCCTCGTGTTGGCATCTGCGCCTTTCGGAATGTGGCTCGAAATCAACACCAGCAAAGTGATGCGTTGTGAACAGAGGTCTCGCCTCTAACGGACCAGCATTAAAAACCCACATCCTCTCCGCCTGTCCTTTTGCTAAAAGCTGGAAACCCCGAGACTGACAAAAAAGACCAGGATCGCTGCATGGAAAGGTGTCCGCGTTTTAGGGGTTTATTGTTTTGGGTTTAGGGTTTAGGGTTTAGCAGCATGGTCAAGGGAACAGGCAGTAAGACATTACATAACACAGCCGTATGAACTTTTTTCCCCTGACGCCAAGGCGTGCTTCTAATTGTGTGAAGGGCTCCACATTGCGCATACGGGCCGTAGCACTAAGACCTTTGTTCCACCGGCCAAGCCGAAACCTGAAGCCTTCAAATGATCTCAATTGGGGATATGGACCCTTGCCGTTGGTGCACAGGTGGATTTCCGAACCTTTGGTTTTAGCCCCGGGAAGCTTCTCGTGAGTTTTCGGCACTGATTTAGGGCTTTAGGGTTCAAGGTTTCCATCAAGGGTCATGGGGTTTCGATTTAGGGCTACGGTCTGGGGTTAGCCAGCCCTGAGGTGGGGCATGTTCAGAAAACCCTACTTGTGAATGTGCATCGGGGTTTCAGGCTGAAGAGGGTAAGCGTTTAGAAGGTCTGTTGAACGAACTGTTTGAGGCGTTCTGCAGCTTCCATGGGCGTCATCAGGTTCAATGTCGAACTGGACTAGGATCCCTCACTGATGGCAGACATGTCCGCAAGGGGCGACAGCACGAATGAAATTGCAGTACTGCCCGAAGGTTGAATGCTCTATCAACTCGCGAATTCTAGTGCATAGGCCTATGCCTTGCACATCTTCTTGCAAGAATTGTAGGCCTAGGCTCGTTGAAACCTGCTGCCCGATGACCTAGCTGTGAAATCTTGGGAAACTCACACATACCCAAACACGGGACTGTGCAACCGATGGCGGCCGTCGACGTTTGCAAAGTTTTGCCCGGGCACTTACTTGGGAATGGTGCCAGGTTGCCGTAGCCTCGAAAGGTGAGGGTTTGGACGTCGGGACGTAGGGGTGTTAAGATTTCAGGGCTTGTCGTAGGGTTCCTGCAATCTCAAAACGCGCGGCGGGTTCAGACGTCGCTTCTCAGCTGTTTCCTTGGAGGTTAATAGGTAGTTACAAGTGGAGCTATAATTCGGGTACGTATAACCCCATGTATAACTACCCATGAACCTGCAAGTAGGGGTCGATCGTAATGGCAGGAACAGTTTGATGCTGGAGCCAAGATCTCGGATTGAAGTCAGATTGAGCAGCTGTTCTGTCTTTTGGCCACAACAACCCAGAGAGCCCAAGGGGTCCCTTAATTAAGGAATATGGCTTAAATCACAAATATGAAGCCCTAGATAATTTGAGCCATCTTCCTTCATTAAGGGGCCCCTGGGGCTCTCTGGGAAGTTGTACCAGGCTTCACAGCAGTGCGATTTTCTCCGAAGGTTTTAGACTTTACTTAACGCGTGTCTACATCTGTCGCCGACTTGCGGCCCAGAGCATAGGACTTGTCGGTTTGAACGCAGAGTGATCCCCTTAAGAGCCTGAATGTTTCAGGGTCGAATTCTCGGATGTAGTTTGTGGGGCACTATATCCAAATGGCTCCCTGGGAGCTGCACGGCAAGGGCTACATGAACGTGGTTTTGACTGCCGGGTTGAATTGCAAAGTGAACCCAACTCCCAAATCACGCAAATCCCAAATTTGGAAGCTTTGCACATGAAAGCTGGAGTTCATGAAACTCCTGGGTTCAACTTCGAAGGAATCCTACGAAGCTTTTCCAACTCCAGAAGTGTTGAACCATCCTTGAAGCAGCCTTCCACATCCCAAGCCCTAAACTCTAAACCCTAAATCCTAAACTATACCCTAAACCCTGAACCCCAAACTCTTATAAGCGGCATGCCAAGGCTCTGCACGGCAGCCTGGGGTCGAAAAGCCTGGCAGTTCCCAATAGTTCCCGAAAATGAGGGGTGTCTTATTTTGGGCTCCTTTGAATCAGGACCCTGCTATTCGGGTACTGCATTAGGGTCCCCTATTTTCGGCAACTCCCAAGTATGGCCAGCCTGACAACAACATATCCAATAGCCTAATCATCCCTAAACCCAAAAGACCTGCAACACAAGGGCTCAAAGTAGTTTAAGCCCCGAATCTTCAAAAACCCAGCCTGCTAACAAAATCATGTTAAAGCTTAAACCACCCTAATGCCTAGCAGCCTACAACAAAGGCACCAAGGTTCAACGTATCCTAAACATTGAAACCTCAGCTTCAAGAAAGGCGCCAGCGGCCCCAAAGTCTCCTAAGCCCTAAACTTCTAAAACCCCCCAAACCCGTAAGGCCTTAAACCCCTTACCCCCGAGCCTTGAATTCCTAATCTCTTAAACCCCTGCACTCTAAACTCCTGAACTCCTAAACTCCTAAACTCCTAAACGCCTAAACGCCTAAACTCCTAAACTCCTAAACTCCTAAACTCCTAAACGCCTAAACGCCTAAACTCCTAAACTTCTAAACTCCTAAACTTCTAAACTTCTACAGAGGCCGGTGGTCGAGAATGCCATGGAGCAGATCTCCAGCGTCATGGCCCAACTCCAGGGCCTCAAGAATCAGCTGCCACTTGGATCCAAGAATCGGTTAGGGTTTAGGGTTTAGGGTTCAGGGTTTAGGGGTTTAGGGTTTAGGGTTTAGGGGTTTCAGCCCAGAGACTCCAATATCCCTTAATTAAGGAATAAACTTTAAATTATAGTAGATCCTTAATATAATTCAAGGTTTATTCCTTAATTAAGGGATATTGGAGTCTCTGGGAGGGGCTCTTGAAATTGGCTGGTTGGGGGGTTTTCGGGTTCCTAAACCCTAAACCCAGGGTTTAGAGTTTGGGGGGTGGAGTCTTTAGGGGTTTAGGGTTAAAGGCTGGAGGTTAATGGGTTCAGGGTCTGGAGGATCTTCGCGGTAGATGTAGATACTCTATAAAACCACATACCATAGCGATTTACCAAGATCCTGCAATCTTGGGGTTAAGTGCTTGTTTGCGGGTCTGTGAAAAGGGCTCAGAACATCCGCACCAGCAGCGGCGTAGCACCGTTTTGCGGCGGAATCGCTGACATTCTCCAGTGTCCACTTAGGACACGGCGTCGCCTTCCTGGCATAGAAAGGAGCGAGCGGCTCGCTCACGCTGCCGGAAGCGCATCTGGAAAAGGAGAGCCTCAGGTCTGCCAGTGGTCTGGTCGGACGTGCTCTCCCTTGAGGCACATCATACGCAGCCCAGGTATCGCCTGGTTGGGCCTGTGATGGGCAGAGGCAGGAAATGGAGCCAAGGCACTCAAGAAGGTTCCCAAGACGGTGGACGTGGCTGGAATGTGTGGCATGGTGCCAAGTCACCTCGAGTGCCGCCTTGGAAGGAATCCGGATGGGATCAAGCACCCAAACCGGCATTCCCTTCCTACAGCTCCAGGCAGGTACCGGGAGCGCCGTCTCAGCCGATCCAGGCGCTTGCTGCCGAGACCTTGGCCAAGGACGAGGGTCACACCTTGATCGATGGCTTGCAGCAGCTGCTGAACAATGCGAGAAAGGCAGAGTCCCGACTTGCGCGTGCTAGGCTGCCAAACAACACGCACATGCGCAATGGAACACGTGGAAGGAGGAAATGAAGACCGCTTGGCTCCGCGAGCAGAAGAAGTTCTTGAAGGATGGAGAACGACGCGACCGCGAGATAGCGGAGGCGTCAGAGGCGCAGAACAAAGCTCGAGCTTTGGTGCGGCAGGCGTGGACTGCCCAACAACAGGGCATGGAGATCGACACGCTGCCAGATGCGACTTCAGAGGAGTGGGACCAGTTGGTGAGCAATTGGGAGAGCGAGGCCCAATCGCAGATGCAAGGTGTCCTTCAGAGGGCCCTCGCCCCTGCGGATACGGCGACCCCGGCTCGGAGGACGGCCCCTGCCATGACTCCGCCCAAAATGCCGGGTCGTGCCGAGGCTGTGTTGGAAGAGCCTTCACCTGCCAAGATGGATCCTTACTTGGGTGGGGGTCCTCCGGGCCCCTCCATGGGGTCAACGCCTACCCCGAACTTGCCAGCCACTGCGTCGCCGCCCCAAGATGCGAACAATGCCTCTGCCCGACAGCATCCCAAAACTCCTCGGCTTGGGGTAAAGGAGGCAACAAAGGTGGCAGTTGCTACCCCGGTTGTGCGTGGACCCGAGCTCAGGGAGAAGCTGGAGACCGCCAGAACCAATGCCATGCAGCCCTTCCGAGGAGCGGGCAAAAAGGGAGATGGAGGTGGCAGTTTGCCCTCTGCCCCTGTGATGCCCGATGGAGCGACGCCCTTGCAGATGCCGGCACCTGTGATTGCGGACGACGATACCGACGAGGAGCTGGTCAGAGCATCTGCGAGCCCAGGTCTGGCACGCATGGAGTAGCAGGCGAGGAGGCTTTTGCACCTGCGTGCAGCTGGCAGACGGGCAACCGAATGCACACGACCGCTGGAGGCAGCAGGCTGGGAGGGCCAGTGCTTGGGAGCTTCTTTGGGAAGAGCTCTCAAAGCCAAGATCCTCTCGGTCAATGCGGCTTCAGAGGTGAGTGTACCATTCTGTGGTTCCGTTTGATACTGAGAAGTGAGCGATCGAAGTGTTGTATAGTCTGTAGGTCAGGGTGTACAGATTGTACAAAAGGACCTTCAAGACTGGGCTCCTTACCTGATAGCTTCTTCGCTTTCTCTGAGTTCCAAGGAGTGCATATTGGAGTATCTGCTACATCCTGCGGCTGTACGGCCCTTGTCTGCAGCAGAAGGGTTGCTCTGCACCTGGCTTGTGCACAGGGCCTTTCTTGCTGCTTGTCTTCCTCGGCCACTGGTCTATCGCACTGGGTTTGTGTGATGGGCCGGCGGCCCTCGCCTTTTCGCTGCCGAGCCTTCGGATCTGCAGGTCCTATCCTAGGCACATATAAAGTCCCGTTTGAATGGTGGGCTATGGTGCCGAATTGTGATGTGCAGAACCTTCTTGCCTTCCCCCTTTGGGTTTATTGGGGTTTAGGCCCGCTCCCTAGACCTGTCTGTCTTGCCCAGGGACCTGTTCCGACCTCAGCTGTGACCACAAGGACGCCGAACTCGGAAATCAGGAGCCCGTTCGGCTTTGCGGGGATGCGGTCTTTCACTGAGGTGCTTGTTGGGTTCGTCACAATAGGGCTTTGCAAGCTTTTGATGCTGGCCTGCTGCATCAAGCGTGTCGGAACACGTGCCTTTCCGAAAGGGCAAGACCAGGATTGCGATGTTGCGTGCGCAGCCGTCATCGGCAGAATCGGTTCGCTCCAGCAACCGCCCCTAGTCTGGGCTCCTAGTTTTCGGCAGAGACACAGACCCCGTCTTCCGTATAGGCTCCTTAATACCTGGGTTAGACTCGGTTTAGCTCTTTTTGGTCTGAGGCTACCTCACTGCATTTGGGCTGCACCTATAGGCTTACGTGAAGCTGCTCGGGCCGCAGACCGTGCCCTTGAGGCTATCCCAGACCATCTCCCAGCTGCGCCTGATTCCCCAAGAGTCCAATTTGCAAGGGATCTGAGTGCGCTTGATGCTGAGGTGAGCAGAGTCGCGGCTGAGCAATCGGCCGCTCTTGACAGGCCTCTGGAGGAGGCTGCCCATTTGCCTGCCCCCATGCCAGACGTCGCCTTGCCCCATGACGATAGGATTTCATGCCCTGCCACCTTCCTAGTCATGTCACCATATCATCAGTCAACTTCAGTTGTTCTTGATATACCCAGGCCGGGCATTGTTGAGGAAGTTCTTGATATCGCCAGAAGTCGGTTAGGTGAGCTGCAACTTGAGTTTGCCAGGGATGTGGTTCCTACGATGCCGCAAGTAGGGGCACTGTATGGATCCTTGTTGGCTGTGCCAGCCTGGCTGCAAGCTGCTGATATGGACGTGATTGTGTGGGATTTTCGCGCCTGCGGTGGGCCCTTGTACTGCAGCTATGCCTTCAAATGCATGAGGTACGGGGATTGTGCTCGCGAAGCAGCAAGGCATGGGCTTGACAGGTGGCAGGCCTTCGCATTTGGCAACAGCTTCCCTGTCCCCCAAGGGGCAACATTCCTCTCAGTACCCGGGGGCGTTGTGCAGTTTCGGCCACCGAACGAAGACCCTGTCTGGTTTAGCACACTTGCATCCCGACTGTCCAATGAAGTGATTTGGGTCCCGGACGCTGAAGTACCGCAAGGATCTACCGACCGGCCGGTCCTTGTGCTGCATCATGATAGACACACTCTCTTCTCTGCCTCAAGATTTCCTAATGCACCAGCCAGGGAAACGATCGCTGATTTTGTCGACCGGACAGCCGACACCGCGATCTTTCTGACACCACGTGAACCAGGGTGCGCTAGGTTTTCCTTGCACGGGATTGATTGTCGTGCTGTGCTAGCAGTTTTCCCACTGACTCCGAGACCCGACAGACAGGGAAGTATTGTCTTCATAGATCCGCGGCAGGCCAATTGTTCGCTTGCTCATTTCTATGTCTCTGATGGCCAGATTGAACCGGCGGACATCATTCGATACTTGGGGATACGGCCGCCTCCTTTGCACCATGTGTCCTTTTGTCCCGAGCCAGGGCCACGAGGGCTGATTGAAGTCATTGAAGGAGACACCATTTTGGTTGGCTTCAGAGCCGATGCGGACTCTGATGGTGCTGAAACCGACAGCTCCGGCCTTGAGAGGTCTGTTGGCTCTGGGGAAGACGAAGGAGTTGGAAGTGGTGAGGGGCAAATCGAGCCTGCTGAGTCGAGCTCCCCTGCACCTGCGATTGCTCTGGGCCGAGAGCGTTCTCGCTCTCCTCGCGCCGAGCTCTTCATGCTTGACGGCCCTGACCAGCTTGCTCCTAGCCTGTCTCGCCGAGCCTTCCAATATGATCCCACGCATGAAGCAGCAGGGGATTCCGCTGAGGGAGTCCTTGAACGTAGCCACCAGTGGGTACGGGAACAGCGCCTTGCAGATGAACCCCCTCGCGGGGATCCTGATCGTGCTGGTCGATTTGGCTTGGACCGATTGCTGGCCTTACAAGTAGGGCGCGAACGCAGGGCCAACCCTGGCCTTGATCCTCCTGTTTTCGCTGAGGCACCTCCCCCTCTTGGCGCAGATCAAGGGGTTGGTGCTGGTACGATGCAGGTGCGCTTTCTTGTATTTCCGCCAGAGTATGCGCCTGAGGTGATTGATGTTGAGGTGCCGATCGGTTGCAGCATTGATGACGCTGTGCGCATTGTGCAAATCGGAAGGAGTGCGGATAGGGTTGCAAGCTTTCCCACTCTTGTGCCTGTTCATCCACAGCCCACAAATGCTTTTGCGATTTGCTTAGCCCTACCTTCGTGGTGCACTGACCAGTACATTCTGCTCGATAGTTCTAGGGTCAACGGCACTATGGCTTGTGCACTCTGCGCTGCAGTCACCAACCGAGCCTCCCTGTTGGCTGTTGCGCGCTTCGAGCACGAGCCGACCCTTGAGGTCTATGTGCATGAACGTGTCATGCCGCTTACCGCCCAGGACGCTATTGCAGTTAGGTCTGGGTACTGTGTCACTTTTGTGCCTGAGCAGCATCCGCCCTTTGCTGTGGCGTACCTCGCTGATATGCTTCATGACC